TATATATATAGCATATATAGCATATATATATACATGTATATATATAGATTCTAACCTAAATGGTTCGCATCGATCGTGTATTTTGCTTCGTTTCTTGTTCTCTTTACGTAAAAGATTCATTGAATGTTTATCATATACTATTTGTACAGCTGACATCAATCACGAACCTGTTATCGCTCTTTAACTTTATTTTTAAATTTGAGATTATTTGTTATATGTCATTTTCGTGTATAGAGAATAAAGTATCGTAATTAATATTTAAAGGTGTTGGGGCCACTGCGGTAGTTCACGCAGCATTTTGTATTCCACGCCAAGAAAAATGTGCTATAAAAAGAATAAATCTAGAAAAATGGAATACCAGTATGGACGAATTATTGGTAAGAGTATTTTTAATTACCTAATAATTACTATATACTTATATATTTTCCTAATATTCTTTCTTTACAATGATATTTATCCGTTTGAACAGAAAGAGATACAAGCAATGTCTTCTTGCAACCACGAAAATGTTGTAACTTATTATACGTCATTTGTCGTAAAAGAAGAACTTTGGCTTGTTCTAAGACTATTAGAAGGTGGATCTCTGTTGGATATAATCAAACATAAAACCAGAACCACCAACTGCAAACATGGAGTATTCGATGAAGCTACAATAGCTACTGTACTTCGAGAAGTCCTAAAAGGTCTTGAATATTTTCACAGCAATGGTCAAATACACAGGTATCACTTTGTTAATATTCTTTTTCATTTATTCAAACATTTTGAACCCTTGCGATCTGGTATAATTAAATGGGAATATAATTATATAAAAAAATAGTAATGGACTAGTATATGACTTTTAACAAAACAAACAAAACAATATTAGGGACATAAAAGCGGGTAATATCCTACTAGGAGAAGATGGTACTGTACAGATAGCTGATTTTGGTGTCAGTGCTTGGCTCGCTACAGGAAGAGATCTAAGCAGACAAAAAGTTAGGCATACTTTTGTTGGAACGCCATGTTGGATGGCACCCGAGGTCATGGAGCAGGTGAGAGAGGAAAGTAACACTACAACTTCTTAGCCTGCATTTTCTGTGTCTACATATTTTCTGTTGCATTAATATTGGCATAAACAAGTGCTAAGATACAAATGTACAGTTTATTATTGATCAAAACACATTATGCTTCGATTAAGTTCAAATATTAAATGCTTTTTCGTTTACAAGTTAATGGAATCTAACAAATATCCTTACGTCACACTTCTTGCATGAAGTTGCTACTACCAATGATTGTTAACGTTTGGTTAAAGAAAAGGTTTCTATAAAATATTTCACTATTTTGAATGGCTTAAATAAAGCGCATATTTAAAAAGCTAAGCGCTTGCACGCGTCAAATATGCATTTGACGAATGCATATATATTTTTTGGACAACTGTTGTTAAAAATGCTTGCAATATTAGTTGTTCGAGTTACGCCGCCGCGTTCTCGCGTCTTTTCGAAAAGCACGCTTTTTTTAAATGTTGTCTATCTTTTTTAATAGACTTATCGTAAAAGCAATTATGATATGCATATTTATTTGCAGGACCATGGTTATGATTTTAAAGCAGATATTTGGTCGCTCGGTATCACTGCTATTGAAATGGCAAGCGGTACCGCTCCTTACCACAAGTATCCGCCGATGAAGGTATTGATGCTCACTTTACAAAACGATCCACCAACTTTAGATACAGCGGCGGATGATAAAGATCAGTATAAAGCGTATGGTAAAACATTCCGTAAAATGATCGTCGATTGTTTACAAAAGGATCCAACTAAACGGTAAGGCTAAGCATGTGTACTCACGAAATATCAAATGCATATAGAATTGATATTTGCAATATTGATTTGCCAAATCCATTTCTTTTAGACCAACCGCTACAGAACTTTTGAAACATCCCTTTTTTAAAAAAGCAAAAGATAAGAAATATTTGCAACAAACATTAGTTGCTATAGGCCCAAGTCTCGAAACTAGAGTACAAAAGGTATGTTTCTTTATTTAATACTTAATGTGTATATTTACTTCATACTCAAAATATATAATGTACAATTTAAAAATAGGCATCGAAAAGGCAACCAGGTACATCGGGTCGTTTACACAGAACAGTAACAGGGGAATGGGTTTGGTCGTCAGAAGAAGAAGATAGCGCATCTAGTGGTGAAGAAGGCAAAGAAGCATTACCAGTTAATACAATAGAGAATGCAAGTAGCGAAGAAGATCCTGAACAAGACGAATTTTATTCTCAAGTTAAATCGGCACCAAGTCATGCCGTTATACAAGCTGCCGAGCAAAATGTTCCTATAAATCTGGTGTTAAGACTACGGTATGCATGAAATATGTTCTTTCGTTAAATATTTTACTTTTTAATATTATTATATACCCCATAATATCCTTCCAGCCGTCCAGACACTCAGTTCACTCTTGAAGAAAAATCAAAGTATATATCGTCCATCCCGATCCTATTAATTTATTTATTAAAACAACTTATCGGATTATCTATGATATTATTTTGATTTGATTTTTTTCTAGTAATCAGAAACGTGAACTAAATGACATCAGATTCGAGTTTGCCGTGGGAGTTGATTCTGCCGAAGGCATTGCTGCCGAACTAGTCGGCGCGCTATTAGTCGACGGAAAAGATATCGTGGTTATAGCATCAAATTTACAAAAATTAATAGACAGTGCTGGGCAATTACGGACTGTTACATTTCCATTGGTAAAATAAAACTGTTTCTTCTTAGTCTATAATATTGTTATGATTAGAAATAAAAAAAACTTTACAATTATTCTTTATTTGTTTTAGATTTCTGGTCATGCAGCCAACGAAGTACCAGATGATAAAGCATTAATAGGATTCGCTCAGATCTCCATCACGGATTAAACATTTTCGTAGTATTCTGAAGTCTCAGAATAATACTCTTACGTGATATATGATGCAGAAAGGATCAAAAGCTATAGCTGTACCGTTTGATCATTCTACAAAAACATTGTACAGTATAAACCATCAGCGGATTTGTCTGACGCGTATGGCTCTAGTTTTTGATATTTTTGCGAATAACTCTTTTCAGTTGCTATGATTTTTCAGGTAATTTGATCACGCAGGACATAGAACCTACAAGATAGTACATCCTAATCATAGTACATACAGTGACAAAGAACCTTTGAAAAAAGTTTTTATGTCTATCTTATGTTCACGTAAATTATTAAGACGCAATCCACACAATTATTATCCACGAAGGCTTGCAAATTTGACGTATTCTAATCCCTAAAAGCTATAACTTCACGTTATTCTAGAACGATTCATATTATTTTAATTTATGTAAATATTAGCGATCCAGTTTGTTCGTTGTTTCTCTTAATTGTTTTATGTAAATTTGAATGAATTTACGCGCATTGGAAATAATGTAGCAGTTGAAATAACGAAGAACTCATTGGGTGAAATCAGTTGAGGTACTTGATTGTTTCATTTGTTTATTTGATTTAACTTTCTTCCTTTATTTAACAAAGGATATATAAGATGCGCTATAATATAGTGTCATTAAAGTCATTAAGTCCTGTACAAAATACCAATTATTACATTTTAATTATCATATTTGATGAAGAATCAATGAAATATTACACAAAGATTCAAAAGTACTAGAACACATTTTGTACTTAATTAAATAGAATTACAATAATGTATTCATATTTTTAAAGATTTTAGATAGAACTGGTTTAAGACTTTTATTTCTTGAGTCGTTTTTACAAAAACGAAATATATATATATATATATATATATATATATACACATATATATCTACATATGTCAATGTAGATGGATATGTATATATATATATATGGACACCTGTACGCAACGTGAGCCTGCCACAAAATATACGAAATCAGAGTTATATGTTATTTATGATTAAAATTATTCTTAATATAATATGGAATTTTGTAACATAAGTTTGAATCCAACCAGGCTTGTATATAGTAAAGAAGAGAAATATGCAATTATCAGATTCTGTTTATTATTTCAAGGTTTCTTTTTCACTACGAAATACAAACAAAAAATCCAATATATTTTAGTTTGCATAGACGCAAGGTATAATATATTTAAGTTTTATTCAGAATATATATGTTACTGTCAAAGCCGGAAATCAGGCATTGCTAGTAAATCCTCGGCATTACTACTCTTCACATTCATAGTAATGCTGAGGATTTACTAGTAATGTCTGATTCCCGGCTTTGACGGTAACATATATATACACAGAAAAGAAATCGTTTTACCAATTTTGAAATCACGAATGTAATACTCTCTATTCGTTAAACGGCAGATGTATCTTGTACGCTTGATAATTATTATAGAACATACGGAAAAAAGAGCATAATTATTATTAATTGTAAGACAAAAACAATAATAATAATAATGATTATTATAATGTATAAACTAAAGTAGAATCAGAAAAAATAAGTTTTATCGAACATGGCACTATTTTGTAGTTTCTAGGTTTACCACGCATGATATTTCAGGATTCGAACTAAATTTAATCCGAATGTTTTAGCGTAACTGTATTATGATACATGTGCCTTACCCCCACCCCGAAAATTAAACTTGCTGTCGATTCATAAGCTTTTAGATGTAATATTCAATCTCTATCATAATTAAAAAACACTTTCTTACCGTGACGTATCATTTGCAGCATCATCGAAATGGTGCCAAACAAAGTGCGACGATTGATTATGTACCGACATCAAAAGTTATTTATTTGTATTAATATCAAAGAATATTAAGCAATGAAAAATATTGTGCTTTATTCCATTGCATTATTATTAATTTTATAATATTATTATTAATATATAAGAACAATATGCTTTAATGGCAAGGTGGTACTTAATTAATTTATAGAATTTTCAAATATTAACAATATAATTTTTTTTATACATAATATTTGATTAATTAACGATTGACTTACAATTAGTCGTAATAAAATTTTGCTCTTTCTAGTAAATGGACGAAAAATGATTTTGTAAAACTATTGAAATCTTTCATTTACGTCTTTGCGATTTAAAATATCGCGCCATAGAAATTGCAATATATCGAATATTACCTACAATCGTCGCCAGAGTAGCCATGTTTATGAGTGTTTACTTCTGTCAATTACATTATAAAGTTTAGACGATTTTTACAAAGGCATTTTGGAAATATGAAGAAATTATTACGGAATAATCAATCAAAACTTGTAATAATATCTTCTGATGAAGACAAAAATGAACAGAAAGAACGTAGAGGTATAAGGAAACAATTAAGGAATAAACAAATCCAACCTATAATCATATCTTCCGATGAAGAGAATGATAAAAAAAAAGAATTTGTTGGTAAGAAGAAAACATTACGGAATAAACGAAGCAGATTAATACTTACATCTTCTGATGAGGACGAAGATGAAAAAAAAGAAATTGATAAGAAAGTTGTTAAGAAAGACGTTACAGTTAAAGATGATAAAAAGACAACAATGAACAAAGGTAAGAGAGTAAGAAATGCACATGTAAGAAAAAAGATAAAAAAAGAAGAAAACGTTGATGAAAGTAATAATGATAAAGATGCAATTCCAAAGGAAGAAGTAGACAAATGTATGGATGTAAAGAATCCAAAAAGGACAATCCAAAATGTAGATGAATTACAAATGACTAATTCTAATGCGAAAAAGAGAAAATTAGAGAAAGATTTATCGGTCGAAGGTGAAAAAAAAAACATAGATATAAATAAACTTTCTACCGAATGTGTGGAATGGACAAATGTAGATTACATTTGCGAAGTACAAAATATCGATAAACAAAAAGCACAAAATATTGTTAAACTTTTCCAAGAGGAAAATACTATACCTTTTATTGCAAGGTATAGAAGAAACATGACAGGTGGTATGGAAGCGGATCAATTAAGATTTTTAAAAGAATGCTTCGATAGAGCCAATGCAATAAAACATCGCGCTAACACAATTATTAAAGCTATCGACAAATTAGGAAAGTGGACGCCAGATATTCACTCTGCATTAGTATCTACCAAATCTGAAGATGATTTAGAGCATATTTATTCCATGTTTAAAGTTACGTCTAAGCAATCGTTGGCAGAAAGGGCCAAATCGGTTGGCCTAGGTCCTATAAGTAATGCAGTTATAGAAGGAAGAGAAATTCCTTCTTTATTCTCATTAGTCGATCAAGAAAAGACAGGATTGCAAACGGAGCAACAAATAAAGGAAGGAATTGTACATATTATAGCAGATGTAATTAGTAAACATAAAGTTATTTTTGACAAAGTAAAAATGCTTGAAAAAGAATTTATTATGGACATTCATACAGTGCCGTTAAAAACGAAGGATAAATCTAAAGACAAAAAGGTAGAGAAAAGCGTAGATAAAGAAAAGTATGAAATATATTTGAATTTCAAGAGTAAGACAAGTAATATTAAGCCATATCAAATTCTAGCTATTAATAGGGCAGAGTCGCAAAAAGTTCTTACTGTTAAAATCCTTATACCCGATCCTTTGGTGGGTTTATTTACAGATTATTGTATGAGTTTTTTCAAATCTGGAGTTCAAGCATCCAACTTACATTTGACGTTATTGAGAGATAGTATAGATTACGCGTTTAAAAAGTTTATTAAACCGTTAATAGTTAGAAGAATACGAAGCGAATTAAAAGAAAGAGCTGAAAGTGCATCCATAGAAGTATTTGCTACCAATGTCAAACAGTTGCTTTTGACGCCTCCCGTGCGAGGAAAAATCGTAATAGGTGTAGATCCAGGTTTTTCTCATGGATGTAAATTAGCAGTAGTGTCGGAGCAAGGAAACGTTTTAGAAACTGCTATTATATATCCTCATAAAAAAATGCAAGATTCAGAGAAGTCGAGTATAATTTTGATCGATTTAGTGAGGAAATATAATGGTACTATCATAGCACTTGGCAATGGTACAGCATGCAGAGAAACAGAAATATTTCTTTCTAATTTAATTAAGTCGAAAGCCTTTGAACCACTCGACGTTTCTTACACGATAGTCGACGAATCGGGAGCATCTATATACAGCTGTAGTACGGAAGCCAAACTAGAGTTTGACAATCTTGATCCAAATATTATCTCTGCGATTTCAATCGCAAGACGTATACAAGATCCGCTTGCTGAACTGGTGAAGGTAGAACCAAAACATCTAGGAGTAGGAATGTATCAACACGATTTGCCCCAAAAGCAGTTAATGCAATCGTTGAATGAAGTTAGTATACGATTGGTTAATCTAGCAAAACAGTGGATGTATCTTTTAAAATAAAGATAATTGGATAATTTATGTTATTTTAGGTTGTTACAGAAGTAGTAAGTTTTGTCGGTGTCGATATCAACACGGCTTCCCATTCTCTTCTTAGAAAAGTTGCTGGTTTGAATCAATCTAGAGCGACCAACATCATAGAATGGAGGAATAAGCATGGTCCATTTTTAAACAGGCAACAAATTTTGAAAGTAAAAGGCATTGGCAATAAAACTTTTGAACAGTGTGCTGGATTTATAAGGATTCTACCAGAAACAGTAGTTGTTGCTGGGAGTAAAATAAAAAAATCGAAAGATCCTAATGAATCTCTTAATTTTTTGGATCAAACTTGGATTCATCCGGAATCATATCCTGTAGCATATAAATTCTTAAAATCGGCAGGATGTAACATAGAAGAAATAGGCAGTTTGTCTTTCATAGAAACAATCAAAGCGTTCATCGAAAAGGACGGCCCAAATTTTCTCAACAAATTTCTGACGGACGAAGACACCTTAGGAGTTATAATAACAGCTTTAACAACGAAAAAAGATGAAGATATAAGAATGAAATTTCAAAGTCCTTTGTTTCGTTCTTGTTTGCGAAACATCGAAGACTTGACTGACGGTACTTTGTTGAGCGGGGCAATCAGAAACATTACGCACTTCGGTGTATTCGTAGATGTTGGGGTAGAAAAAAATGGTCTTATGCCTACGAGACTGTGCAAGGGCCAAACACTTTACGTAGGTCAACGCGTGGAAGTAAAAGTCGTCAACGTCGATCACAGACGCAATAGATTCAACTTGGAATTATTAAAGACTATTTAAAATAATATACAAAACTTTTTATATCGACTATGCAGAAAATCGATTATCGAATTCTATCGTTTTCTTAACTTTTCTTTTCATTTATATATATATCAGCATTGTCCAAGGATGGAATAAGGAAAGTTAGACAGCGCTATTATAAAGAAATAGATAGATCGATTATTTGTTGATTCTTTACGAAGACATTGAAGAAAAGATATTTTTGTACATAATTGAAAGCTTTTCTAATCAATTTGAAGTACAACAATATGTGTAATCAAAATATTATTAATTTGATCTTTACAGAAGAATAAATTTGTTGGTTTAATTTATGATAATTCGATTCGAAGTATTATTTGAACTCCTACTGTCGTTAACGATGAGAGACAAATGAAAATTTGGGTTAAACTAATTTTTGACGTGGCATTAATTGATTTTTGGATTAACTACCCTTCTTTAGCCCCCGAAATGTTTGCAAAAGAAAAATTGGCCAGCGAATTGACAAGATGTGGAAGACCATAAAGCTGAAAACTTTACAGCCCACCTATATGTATATTCTTTCTATAATTTTTGTTGTTGTAATTAAACTGTAGAAAATGTATTTTTCCATCTAACATAAAACAAACTGGTAGTGCATATGAAATTTTCCTTCGTTTCCTCGGAAACATTTAAGTATTGGATCTAATTACTTGCAGTGTATGGCCCCGTAAAACTGTGTAGAGTTAACGAAAAATTAGTTTTGAAGTAAGAGAAGTTGGACAGCGCTGATATATATCATTTTATTCGACTTTTGTAGAGATTGCGAAAAAAAAATAAATTTATCCAGCGAAATATAATTGAATAAAAAACAATAGAGATAAAAGTTGAATTTATGAAAAACAGGATTTGGAGGAATATTTTTCTGAAGAGGATTTAGTGGATTTATGAGGTATGCGTCGGAACGGAAGGGTTGACCGCTCGAATCGAGTCTTTGCAGACCGTCGATCAATATACACCAGTCCTCGTCTAACGGCGTACCAGTAAGAAACTACATTTTTTCTATCATTTTTTCTTTCCATTGCTCATGTTCATTTTTTATTCGCGTAATTTCTACTCTGGAAAAACGATTCTAGGGACGTGTCCATAAATAATTTCATTCCAGACGGGGAGGTTTTCAAGAAAATTATATATCGCGATGGACAGGAATAAGATCCGGGGGTATTAAACGACACGATATGCCATTTATGGTCTCTATGAAATGTTATTTAACCAATGCATATAGGACTTTGCGAATTTGTATATTATCGAATGATGTTTTTTAAACAAGACGCTCTCGAAGCAATAATGCTCAGTAGAATCCTTTCGCGTAGCGTATCTTTGTCGATAAGGTAGTTTTTCCTATAGTTAATTCTTACAGTAGAATTTATTGGAAAACCATAGTAATTGATGATTCGTCAATCAAAAATGACTTAATTATTGTTATTATTATTTTGGAGAATATAGGAGGGTGTTAGGTTTGCGGGACAGCCGGCTTAGTCTAAAGTAACACAACTTTTTCGCGTTACTCAGCGCGTACGTATGGCAAAAATACTACTTGAAATTTTCATTTATTTTCACAATAAAACGATATTACTCGAGGATCCATCGAGACTCGGGATTTTTAGATGAAAATAGGTGACCCAGAATGCGTTTTTCGCACGAGTTAATGAGTGGGAAATTTATTTCATAAACGCTATGTTTAATTAAAATTCAATATAGAATAGAAGTGACGCGTTTAAAACTCTACGATAAATGTTTCCAAATGAATTTCAAATTGGAATAGACGAAGTTGTTTTTTCCCCCCTATTTTGGCTGCAATAATATACATAAAGAAGCGAAGAGAAAATTGGACGAGCTCGAGTGATTGCGAGAGAAAAGAGAAGTAAATAGTCGTGGTAATCTTTTTCACAGGCGAAAGCGCTCTCGCTAATCCTCCAGAACAATTGCGTAATTTGGTAAAAGCGTTCGTTGACAATGATTATATTTGTCGAAAGTCTAAAACAATGGCTTGTTATTTTCTATGTCTAGTCTAGGACGCGATGTTTATTTTCTCTGGTTCAGGGTTGCGTCAGGAAGTGCAGAGGGTGTTTTGCTGACGATTCGAACGCACTGCTAGTGCTTTTTCCCTGGCGTCTAGACGTCGCGGCGCCGGTTTTCAGGCATCAGCTGTTTTACGGAAGTACGCTCGATGAGAACCACTCGAGCACCTCGTCCCTTATCGATCCACGGCAAGACCAATTTCAACATTTTTTTAACGTAATCAAACAAAAGCGTTGGATTTGGTTCATAGTCGAGAGAAGGAAAGACAATCGATGCACGCAGATAACTAATATATATGCATTAATATATGTACGTAGAGCAGCTATGTTACGTAGGCATGTTTCGTATACGTAGGAGGTAGACTTTCGACCTTAACGTCCACCGACATTTAGGTTGCTTCGCCCACACGACTCGGCAACTTATAAGATCGCAAATCGTATTACGGTATTTAGTTTCGCTCGCTAACTTTCCTGCCTTTCGTATTTCCTTTGCATTTTGATCAAATTTCACTTTTCTTTCGCTTCCTATAGAATATTGGAATTTCGTTCGTGCAAAGTCATCACTTTTGATGGTCGGAACGTCTTAAAGTGTTGGATGAAAATCTTCGAATGAAATGTAATCGTAACCCTTGATTTCGATCGACGGAATGAAGAGTAGATTACTTGGGTACTCGTAAGGGAAACCGTAGGGGCGAAGTCCGAGGTTTGCAAATGGAAGACTTGGGCGTACGTACGTACTTCTAGGATGGGGGCGCGCGCAATTAAGATGTCCTAAGACCAAGGGAAATGGGGGTTGCAAAAAAAAAGAAGGGATGCAACTTTAGCGAGCAACACCTGATTCTCCAGAGTGGCTCGGAAAATAAAAAGATAAAGATGCGTTAGAGCTGGTGGTCTTTACAATCACATTTTGTAGGAAAGGCTTTCGGTTTCGGTTTAGCTTGCATCAGCGTAACGACCTTTTTTCCATTCCGCTCGCACCTAGCTTCGTCGTGAGTTTAGCATAACGTTTTCGTTCGCTCGTATACCGAATTTCCAAGACGATCGTCTCCTCGTCGAAGAAACTTCAACGAGCGAACTCGATTTCGCAAGTTTTCGAAAAGATTGGAAATTACTATTGCTCGACTTCTCGATCTTTTTTTCTGCCGACTGTAGTAGGTTCGCAAAAGGATCGATATTTAAATGAGAAAAGTAAGGTAAATGGAGTAGGACAGGAACGACGTAGGCGGATTCGGGGCTCTCGTCGTAGTTTTGGGTATTTTATACATTCGTCAATTTGCATATCCTTTTTTAAATTCTTCTTGCGGAATTCCATTTGAACGTATGCGCTCTCGTGTTTTCCATTCTTCTCTCGCGTTGTCACGACATTCCTTCTCTATATTGTATGAACAAATTTCAAAGTTTACCGTCGTGCTTCGAAGTTTCATTAGATTTTAGCGGAGCTTACAAAAAAGTCTTTGCAACGAAGCGAGGAAGAGGTGCAAAGAAGCGAGAATCCCTGTCTTCTCTTTTCTCATCGGGGCATTTCTCGTAGCACGGACGGAATAGCATTTGTTACAAAACGTATAATATTTGTTTGTCAATGGAGCTTCGTAGTCGTCGTAGTTGCAGCCGTAGTCGCAGTTGGATCCAAGTTTCAATGGAAAAGCGGAATAATTGCACCGGGGTTTGGTTTGCCTTTGCTGCGTCCTTTTATTCGTTCGCTTTCTCATATTTTGCGCGATGCTCGAAATATGTTTATCAGAAAAGCGCGGTTCGCGCGAACGAAAAAATGGATATCCGAAAGGTAAAAAGTTGCACTGAGCGAGCGAGTGCACGTACAAGTGGAGGGATTAAAACCGTCTTTCTCGCGTTCCCTTTGCCATTCTTTCTCTCTTTTTCCGTTTCCACGACGCGTCGCGACACGTCCTATCCAAAGTTTCATGATTACTTTAGGATCGTTAAAGTTAACGAGGAGGGAAAGAAAATCTCGTAGGTTCCAATTGGAAATTCGAAGAAACGTCCTCGCTTTCGATAATTATTATCATATTATATGCCTGCCGGGCGTCGGTCAATTAGCATGAATCGGTTAATTAAAGGAAAACGGAAAGGAATTATTTACGAATGATTATTTCTTCGTGTCGCTTAAAGCACATTACGGCTCTTCGTATTTCCCCTCGTTCCAGCGTATAATTTACACCGTAACGAAAGCAGTCATTCTTGAATATCGCCTTTCGCCCTAACCCACGAGATTCGAGAATGAAAGTTGCCACAGACTTGTCTCGAGAGCGCGAAACTCGCCTTCTCTAAGCGATACCTCCTAGCTAAACTCATTTCATCTTCCAAAATACCAATTAACGACACCACCTTCCTACTACTCCTCGTCGTCGAATCGTAATCCGAAGGACGAGCAAACGGATTCGCGTTGGCCCGAGAATGAAAATATCCAGGTAGAAAACGGATAATTGGCTTGCCTTACGCTTTCCGTAGTAATTATGTATTTTAGCCTTTTTCTTTTAATTTGTAATTAAGCCTTTGCGGATAGAATAACGCAAGCGAGATCGGCCAAGTATCTCGAGTTTCGAGTCCCGTACATATTTTATTACTCCGATGGTTCTTTTCGTTAACAAGCGCCGCTTTTTCGTCTTGAAACTGAAGCTCTCGTGAAAGATCGCGAGCATCGTACGCTTCACTGATTTTATCCGCGCGTCTTTTTTTTTTTTCATAATTCCAGATGAAAAAAAGAAAAGGAGAGAAAGAGAATAGGTGTTTACGTCTCTTAGTTTGACAATGCATCGAACGCAGCCAGGTGCGCTTGGTTTGCGTCACCGATCTAGCCGTTTCCTATAATTCACGCGGCGATAGAAATATCATTTGCTCTAGAATTCAATAGAGTTGTTATTCGTTTCGGTTCGACTCTGTTCGGATGCCGTACCAATAATAATCGATAATACAGCGCAAAATGCTTCTACCTTAACCGTTAACTGTTATGCAATTACGATTGTATGGTTTCGAGTCTGCCACTGTTACATAAGTTCGACGAATCGGATATAGAATCGTGCATTTTCGTTTTACGCGACGATTACGTAAAACGGACTTTCTTCCTTTTATTTTGTCCATTATTTATGTAAGCGCGGGAGTAATTTAATCACCGAGACGACAAATTTCTTCGGAAGACCTCGTCGAGCCCGTTTAATCGCGTTTAAGAAGAAAGGAGACAAAGTTTAGAGAACATAATGTTTGGATTTTGTTGAAAGTAAGACGAACCTAACATGAGACATCTACTCGTCGCTGTTTAAAGCAATCGCGGCATTGGAACGCTTATCGATATCTCTGACGATTCCCGACGCTTTGCCATCTAATTTAGTTTCGACGTCGAAATATCGAAATATCGAATATCTCCGAGAAGCAATATTATTAGAGGGCCGACGTGAATCGGGTAACACAATTTTCGATGTACGATGTACGAGTTGAAAGAGCGCGTAGGGTCGTCGAAACGAATAACAACTCTTCCAATGATAAGAACTTTTTTATTTCCTAGCCGACTACGAAAAGTATTTTGTTGTAACTTTTCTCCTCGCTTCCGGTGTACTACTCGGATACGCGAGAATAGGGGCCCCCGGAAGATACTCCAGACCGATACAAATTTCCGGGATATCCGAATTCTTTGCTCGACGACCATAATTCTTCCAATATTGCTGTTAACTTCCGAATCCTTCTAAGAAGACCGAACTAGCATTAAACTATGCGTTTTCGCCTTTCCACGATGGTGGAAAAAGGATGGAGCTCGCGTTGCTCCAATATT